CTCAATAACAAGGCTGTGAACCGTAGGATTCCTACAAGCCGCAGCGTCATGCCGCCACGCTGCCAAGCATCGCGGAGGAGGAGGCGCGCCTGTCCTCGACCAAGGGGGTTGTGAAAGCTCCTATACCCACCCTGGCGGGCACTCCCACGCCTCACGGGTCCCCCCCTGCCCGGGGGGGCGACTGGGGCGAGCCTCGCGGCAAGACTGCGTCAGCTGTTCCCAAGTGCCGCTGGCCTGCAACTCGAGGCGCCTTTGAATGAGCACGAGCCGGTGCGCGGCGGCGGCGCGGGTGATGCAGTCCAAGGTGACGACGACGGCGGAGGGGGCGGCGGCGGCGGCGGAGGAGGCGGCAGCGGCGGCGATGGCCGCGGGGTCGGCCCGCCCGCCTTTGCTGCTGGTGCTGTGGGCATCATCACAGCTCAGCGGCGGTGTGCGACCAGGGCCAGTGGTAGACTTTCGACGCGGTGAGGCTGCTCTCTGAGCGATGACACTAGCAGGAGCATCATGTGTGTCATCGGAGTCACTTGTATTACGATACCACCACGCTGCCACGCTCGCAAGGGCCGCCTAAGCGCCTAAGCACCCTAAGCACCCCCCGCTTAGGCCGCTTAGGCGCTTAGGCGAGTGACGGCCGGCTGCCACAGGGGCCTGGCGTGCCTCCGCCGTGGGCTGAGCACCCGGGAGAGCCACTCTGCAAGTGGTGTGCGAGCGTGTAGCCTTTAGCGTGCAGTCGGCCTTGTGAGAGAGCGGCTGTCTAATTGTCCCCAGGCGCAGTTATTGTTATGGTGTTATGGCTCTCTGGGCATAGCAGCCCATAACATGTTATGGGCTGCTATGGGAGGGCCGTCCCGGGTCCACGGTGTTATGGCCCGAGAGGCCACGCCGGACTGCTCGCCGCTGGAATTTTCGCTTCGCGCGCTGCCGCGCGCGCGCGCGCGAGGTAGGTTCGGCATCGATCGCCAAATATTTTCTCTTTTGCCCAAGTTAAATTCAATAACATCAACCTGCCTCCTGAGGCTGAGCGATGGCTTCAGATTGCTCAATCAAGACCACCGGCCCTCCCCCCCCCCCCCCGCAATTTGCTTCCCGTTTCTAACTCGTACTCGCTCTGCAGCTCTGCACGCTTCCCTCCATTTTTAACTTGTATGTCTTTCTATGTCTTTCCCGCAATTTAACTCACGTCCTTTTTCTTTCCTTTTTCCACTCATGTCTCGAGGTTTCTAAAAAGTGGAAGCTGGCTGCTCCCGCTTTTAGTAGTTAAAGCTCCGTGCGCGCCAGTCCCGTGCCAGTGTCGTGCGAGGGGCACTTGGAGTACTTGGAGTGCTATGAGGTGTTATGAGGTGTTATGAGTGCTGTGAGGTGTTATGAGGTGTTATGAGGTGTTATGGTAGGGTGGGCATAACAGCCATAACAGCGATGGAGGTGTTATGAGGTGTTATGAGGTGTTATGGGGTGTTATATGAGCAGCCAGCCATAACAGCCATAACACCTGTTATGGCCGCTCCCATAACCTTGAGTGGGGACAAGTCTAAGGGGTTGTGATTTTTTGTGTGAACCTCTCACAGACCAGCGCACAGCGCCATAGGAGGTATTTTCTTCTCAATAACAAGGCTGTGAACCGTAGGATTCCTACAAGCCGCAGCGTCATGCCGCCACGCTGCCAAGCATCGCGGAGGAGGAGGCGCGCCTGTCCTCGACCAAGGGGGTTGTGAAAGCTCCTATACCCTGGCGGGCACTCCCACGCCTCACGGGTCCCCCCTTGCCCGGGGGGGCGACTGGGGCGAGCCTCGGCGAGACTGCGTCAGCTGTTCCCACAGCAGGCTGGAAGTACCTCGCCAGCCTATGCCAGGCGTGGTCTGTCTCGCCTCCGGCGGGATATGTCGTGCGCCTCTCCTACCCTCGCCGCACGGACGTGGATGTCGCGCCGGAGGCGGGTGGGGAAGGTTTCTCCGCATATGCAGGCGTAGTCGAACTCACCAGGAGTTCTCCTGACGCCCCCCCAGTCGTCGGCCACGGGGCCATCCATCTCTCCATCCAGCCCCGCCACTGAAGATTTCGTCTGCTGGGATGGAGTCCCGACGCTCGCTGCGTCCGCCGGAACTGGGGCTGCACACCCATCGTGGCCGCGTCCCGCAGTGGTGGAGGCAGCAGCTGCTATACAAAAATCCCCACGGCCCCCGACTTTCTTTGGGACTCCGCCTCTTGCCCGCTCACGTCTCACGACGCCCCCCCCCCACCTCGAGGTTTCCTCCCCTTTTTGATCATATCGTCCCTCCAAGATCCTGCTCGCTCGTGCAGGTGGGGAGGGACCCTGTCCCTTTAGGTTATCTCGACGAGGCACGGCCGTTTAGATTAGACAGAAAGGCGAAGAACAGCCAGGCTCGGACTGGACACCAACGCGGTGTATGGATGGACGCGGGCTGTTTATTCATTTTGATGCGGACCCCCGGCGCTGCCGTCGACTGGCGGGCGGGTTGAAAAATCCCCCCCCCCCCGGACCCCCCCCCCCCCCCCATCACTCACCAGCCAGCCAGACGACTCTCTCACTCGATCAAGTGATTCCATCCAGTCACCGGAATTGCAAGGGGTGGAAATCCCCGTCTGCCAGAAAATGCAAGCCAGCTACAGCGGCGCGTCGGGTCGGCTCCTGTCCCGATCCCGAAGCGAGCATCGCCGCCAAAGAGTATAACAAATCCAAGCGAACCCCACGTTCCGGCGGCGTACGTCCTCAGACCCCAACAGCGTCTCCCGATGATTGCTGAGAACCCACCTCGGAGGCACTGGGCGGCCATTGGCGCGGGCGCCGCGCTTCTCCTCGTGACGGCCGCCGTGAGCTTGACCAGCCGCCCTGCCTCTCCGCAACAACTCTCCATGGGCGACATGATCGGCTATTTTGCAGCGCTTCTCAAAGCAGAACCAGGCCGCCCCACAGCAGGTATGAATTATGCAACCCTACACATAGAAGCCCGACGCTCGCCCACCGGCGCAACAGGCGACGGCCCCGAGGGGTGCATCGCATACGGCGGCTACCCCGTCACCGCCACCGGCGTCGGGCAGTGGGTCCGCAAAGCCTAGATGCTCCCTCCACTTTCTGTACTCCAGCCAGCACTCGAGATGACACGTGTTCCACTCATTGCTCCCCTCTGTGCATAAACAGGCGTGCAAGTTTCCGTGCGGCGAGGAGTGGACCAAGTGCCCCATCGGAGGCACGGGCCCCAGCCCGCCGTGCCCCGCCGACTCGCCAACCGCCAGCTTTGCCGTCCCGTCCGACGCGTGCGAGAAGAAGTGCCGCGACTACATCGAGCCGATCTGTGCCGCTGTGGGGTATACTGCAGCCTGCTTCTCCCAACCGGACCCGCCGGGCGTGGACATTGAGCAGAGTATGTTCCTGAATCTGGAGGCGCAGTGCTTGACGGGAGGGGGTGGCCTTGGAGCCGCGCCGCCGACTCTAGTCGAGTGAGCCAGCGCGGTCCTCGTCTCTGCGACTGCAAGCTGCCCAGACGTTAGCAGGAGCCCGCTGCGAGCGCGGTGCACGTGGCGCAGCGTGGACGCTCCTACCCTTTCGTCTCTGCCTCTCTCCTGTTGAGTGGCTACTGTGGAGTGGTGTTGATGAATAGACAAATTGTGAGAGAGCGGCTGTCTAACAGGGGTTGTGTTTTTGTGTGAACCTCTCACAGACCAGCGCACAGCGCCATAGGACGTATTTTCTTCTCAATAACAAGGCTGTGAACCGTAGGATTCCTACAAGCCGCAGCGTCATGCCGCCACGCTGCCAAGCATCGCGGAGGAGGAGGCGCGCCTGTCCTCGACCAAGGGGGTTGTG